TTTACAAATGTCAAATGGATCTTTTTTGGGGGGTGAATTTTATACATTTAGTAGAAAGGTCTGGTTATGCTTTAAGTTGAGAACCTTTCATATCCTTTTCAGTATCAGTTTGAAGTTTATTTCTGACCCCTATTTTACAACACAAACTGTTTTAATTCTTTTATAGCTGCTTTAAGAGGCACAGTGGTCTCATTCTGCACTAAAAGGGCCATGAGCAACAGGTGTGCGCTGTTATAGCTCCATATTACAGCAGCAGCAGACCATAAACTGTCGGTCAGCAAAAAAAAGAAAAAGAAAAAAAGGTTGAGCCAAGCATCTCTGAAAATACACAGCTGCGTTTGGCGTCTTTTGTCTTGAAAAGCCTCCGGAGGCGAAATGAACAGTATCCCAGCTAAAGCAGTGGGGATATTGACAGACTGCAGTTTGACAACAAACGCTTCCAGGCTTTACCTTCACACCTTCTTGCCTGCTTCTCTCCTCTTCTTTCGGATCTCGTCCTCAGCGATTCGTCGCAGTCCGGTTCATAACCTGTCCTCCTCTCTGCAGCCTCCCTCTCCTCTCCAATCATTCATCTCTTTTTTATTTTTCATATAAGCTCTGCTCTGTGCCGCCGCCGCTGCCCTTTGCTTTTCTTTTGAACTCTCCGGTGAAATTCACTCATAGCTCCATTCAACAGACTCATCCCATTTTCCTTTAAAGGCTTTAAAGCGGATCATATTTCTTCCCCCCTCCGCCTCTTGTGCGCGCAGAAGCTGCTCAGGATATTGCATTAGGGCCGCCTTGGGTTTTTTCTTTAACCATGTAAACATGCAGCAGTGGAGAGTCTTGAGGAGATTTCTTTTTTAAATACTGGATAATAGGTCAGTTTTTAATTTTCTTCATGATTTTTTAATGCTCCCATAAATCCTAAATCTGGTAGAAAAATATATAGATCAAAGTAACGCTTCCCTTGTAGACCATGTGGACTGAAGTTAAGCTTTTTATTTTTTGGCAAGTTTTGTGTCATTCTGTCTTTTTTTTCTTTGTTTGAAAAGCACTATGGCTCACAGCCCAGGGTATAATCTTGTCAGGGGTTAACCCAAGAACATAGGGTGGTGATTGTTTTACCCCATTTACACTTA